AAACGCTAGTGCGCTGTTTCCAGAACCCCCGCGTCCCACTACTCCCTTCGATGAAGCCATCGAACCTCCTTAAGATTTGTTTTATTTCACTTTTATTATCTGCTATTTTGTATTGTTAGAAATAAAATAATACGCTTTGTATTGTCTTAAGTTTTAACTCAAACATGACTGTAACGTGAAAATGCTGTAACGATGCATTTTTAGACATACGTTTATATGAACTCTTTTTGCTTATTTTGACGAGTAGAATACACCCCTAAAGTAGCGGCCCACGTTTATGTTGCACGTTGTATATGAACTAATTGTAAGACATTAGCCGTGTGGGTGTGTGCGTGTATCTAATGGATTAAACCCAAAACACAAAATATATATCTACATTTAAGAACACCTTAACATTACAGTTATATAGGAGAGCCCGCTTTATTTCTGTTTCTTACCGCGTACTAGCAGAATTGTAAGAATGACGTAAGGGAAGAGCGCGGTGAAGTAGACGACTTTGCCGATGGTCTGGATACCGCGTACCAGGCATAAAAAGCACACTATCCAGGCTAGCGTGAGGCACCCGAACAGTTCCCACCGTATGCCGCCGAAGTTCTCCCATGTAGCTCCGCGCAGACCGAGAACGTAGTCACTGGACGCAATCGACAATTACACGCTTTGCAGGCGCGATCCTCACAACAATTTTTGTGCTCGCTCCTCAACGCTGAACAGCGGCGTAAGGCTCGTTACCGATCCTCCCGACACGATGCAGCGCTGATGGCAATGTACACCGTACCTGAAGTACTCCTCGGACGACAGTACTCGGTCGTAGAGTTCACCTAATGATTTGGTCTCGCCATTCGGGCCACCCCAACAGTGAGTAGTATTACCATCGTTGTAGCTAAAGCTGGAACAGACCCTGTGGATGGCCATGCAGGTCTTATTGTAAAATATCTGGGTTTTATTACTGTCCTGTTGACATTTCATATCCTGAAGATTGCTGTAACAATCTGTCGATATCAGCATTAAACACAGTTCAAAAACGAACGATCGTGATAGGATAAGTAATTTCTTGCTCCGTCAATAACATCTTTTTATAAAAATATAATTATTCGATTAGGCTACG